TATATAAATTTAAGAAATATGCATTAAAGCCAGATGAAAAATACGGTGCGGTTGTATTTGGTTGTCTCTGGCTTACTAACCCAGGATGCAATTTTACTTGAACCTCTAAAGGAACTGAGGTAAGTGGAACTCATCATACAGGTTAAACCTTCAAATGCCAAATCAGTGAGGCAAATCGAATATTTGCTAGGCGTAATTTTGAATTTTTTTTTTTGATTCGAGGCTTGCAACAATTTTTCCCAAAAGTCATTTGGTTGGTAGTGATTTTCAGACAGAAAATCGGTTCAGAATTATATGAAGCTTTCCGATGCTGAAAAGATAGCCTACTCATTAAGTGATTGCTCAATGTTCGAACGTTGCTGTTTTTATTCATACAGAAATTGCTAGCTGTGAATGGGAGCGCCCAATTACCGCAATAGATCAGAATTTACGATAGAGTTCAATTATAGCAGTTCGCTGTGATTCAGTCCACCAAAGAAGCGGCGCGCTTAATAGATTCGCATAGGAATACGATCGTTGATCGATTGGGAAAAAAAAGCAGGTCGTTTGAGACATACCAATAATCGACCCTTGTAACCAAAGCCTTGGGCAATCGTATGTTTTTTTGCACAGATCGACACACGCACCTTTCAAAAAGCTGATTATCTGTGCCAACAATGTAAGACGTGATTTGATACTATCGCAGATTCAGGTGGTTTTAACAATATTCTATCGTCCGACTCTCACGACGTTATACAGTTTCATTTGAGTAAAGCGAGCTACAACATACTATTCGTTGGCTGGATCAGGGCAGAAGCAACTAAGCATATATATATATATATAAATATAGTAAACTTTATTAGGTCTAAGACAAGCGACATTTTTCTTTGATGAAGATACTGTTGCTTTGCTAATTGTAATGATGAATAATTGTTATAAAAAAATTGATGATGAAAATTATATCTGCATAAGTAAGTGCAATACGATTTGTAGCTTCTGAATGGGGTCCACCTTTAGGGGAAGACACCACATGGGTGTACAAGAGCTACAAGTATTGGCTTCAGAGTATAGATATTTAGGTTCCAATCAAAATATTAAAGCGCAATATGTCACTAGATTGCTTACTAGTGTACCACACAAAGACGTTTCACTAACATTTTACTTTTTATAATAGTCTAGCAATTTTATTCAACCGTTTACGAGAAAGTCTCAGAATTTCGCAAGCAAATTATATTAAAAAAAAAAACACTTCGTCCTGATTGCTGGACCTTTTTTTTAAATCCAATTTCCGTAAAATTATCAATTTTTCTTTTTTTTTTTTTTTTTTTTCTAATTTTAATCCAAAATCTTTTCCGTCGAACAATTCCCCTTGTGCTAATAGTGTAGGACCAGGAAACTAAGGAATCTGTACTTTGGGATGCTTCAACAGGTTCCGTCATCAGTGGGTTTCCAGGGAAATTTTATATTACACGATAAAAGCATATGGGGCAAACATTTGAATTGTTTCTTTTTATCAGAATAAGAAATAGCGAACAAAGTATTGCGGCTTTCCATCAAAATTAAATAAAAGTCATTTCGATAAACTAAGTCGATGCTAAAGTTACGTAGTAACTGTAGTATGCAACAACCTGCATATAGATATGCAAGTAGAACGGAAAGGTAATATTTTAAAAACAGGCAGTCTCAGTGATCCATGTCTGGTAAAAAAAACTAACTTCAGCTCACTTAGGCTTTGATAAAATTGAGATTTTGTGCAAACTTATATAGTTTAAAGAAAAAGATCATCAGATATCTAGCCGTTGGTTAACTGTATGTTATTCTACTGCAGAAGCGTCTAGAGAGAATGCGTTACGTAGATTTCTCTTTAGGCATAAAGCCCTGTAGAGAACGGTGCGCGAAGAGGATTCAACGTTATTATTATATTGTGGAAGCGAAGTAGGGCACCTCTCCTTAAACAAATTATTGCAAAATTAATGCCTTCACATGTACGATATCTTTATTTAATTGATCTAAACGAAATCAATTATATGGTAAACGAAAACAAACTATTAAAAAAATACAGTTCAATATTGAAGCTATATTAATGGTTCTAGTCAGGTTTTAGAACTACATTTGGTAGAAGGAGACAGTGAATAGACTAGATCGTCTTGAATTTTACTGAGATTTGCAGTCTTAGATTTTCTTCTCCTACAGTCCATCGGGCCATATTATTTCGTGTTATTATATAAAGTCGTTCCAAGTCCGAGAAAATTGGACTGACCTCTTTAAAAACCGATCAGAACTAAATCAGTTTCGGTGAGTTCAAACAAAAAAAACGTTCGACGAACGAGTCCATTTTGTTTGGCTGTACACATGCTTCTGTCTGTTGCGTAAGCATTGTGCTGAATCTAAGTACATCTCGATGATTTAGTTCGCAAAAAAAGAAATAAACAAAAAAATTAAATTTCCATCGGCCCGCGGTACTGTAGTGGTCGACATTTTACCTCACCCTATACAAACAAATAATAGAAGCGCGAACGATGAAACGAATGGCAATCAGAAGTTTTACCTCACGGTTATTCATTGATGTATAGATCATCGTACGATTTAGAACCGCATTGATGGCCCATGTAATTGCTCCAAGCCAAAATTACCGATATCTGTTATACTTATCTTCAATATTAGAGCAAGCATGTTACGCAGCACTTTTCCGTCTTTGCCGTTCGCTCCGGACCGTGTTTTAATGTAGAATTTGTTCACTCCGTTTGTGATCACCTGTGTTAAACAGCGACATGATAAAACGTAAATAGGTAGACTTATTATTACAAGTGCAAACGAATCAAAATGTTAAATTATGGACAACAGAGTCGCATATATTAAGACGTAGGAAGGAGAATTCAAATGCTTTTTTCAAATAACTATCGACGACCTATATGATATGGCAGTGTCCAAACAACGCTGTCGGGACAAGTGATCGCACATCGATGTAGTATCCGGAAATC